GAGGATTCAACGTGCCAAGCAACCGGAGGCAAAGGGGCAAAGAAGGAAAGCCGGTAGCCAGGAAGACAGACCAGAATCGGACTTCGTTTTATGCTCAGTGTGGGATGGACTGCCACTCTCGGAATGACCTCATCAGTCACACGAGACGCTGCACCAGGATAGACAACCAGAGCGCAACTCCATAGTCTCCCGAGACTGAAGGATGCCTACTTAACCTATCCTGCAGCCCCTTGATACTCTCCTCCCCCCCTTCAGATGCCTTCCCCCCTTAATACCTCTACTAACATCAAGGATGCTATGCAGAATTCCTCACACCTGTTCACTTTTACCTGAAGGCCACATACTATTCTGAATTTCCTGAGACTGTCTGCCTAGTAAAGCTACCTCTGATTTTACAACTTATTACACCAGTAAAAATCAGGCTTACTTCTTAGACAAATTAAAAGCAACATTTAGTATATAATTTGAGTGGTGGTAGAATATTAGTGAATCACTGTACAGCAGTGATGACACCACTAATACTATAAACAACAATAACAATAGTAACAGTAGTAGCTGTAGTACAGTAATGACAAAAGCAGTCAACAGTACTTGTTATATTAATAGTAAATGATTGTAATATGAAAGCTTTATTTATTAAGGCAAGTGTCACCTTGCTTGTTTCTGAATTCGAGGAGGGGGGGGGGGCTGAGCCAAACTATTTTTCATTTAACTCTGGTTATTCTTGCAATTTGAGGACATAAATGTTCCCTGATATTCTACATACATACAACATAAAATAAATATATATCTGGGTCAATTCTTGAACCGTAACAACACCACATTTATGGAATAAAAGAAAAGTTAAAATGTAAATTAGAATGTTGACCAGACCAGTTGACTAGAAGTTGAAGGGACGACGACGTTTCGGTCCATCCTGGACCATTCTCAAGTCGATTCTCACAATCGACTTGAAAATGGTCCTGGACGGACATAAACGTCGTCGTCCCTTCAACTTCTAGTGTGTGGTCTGGTCAACATACTTCAGCCACGTTATTGTGACTCATAGCCTGCATAAATTAGAATCTTACACTACAGTTACAAAGTTCATTTCCTAATCATACTGATACTGCCAGTCATGCAGGCAGACACTCCCAGTCAGATTAAATTGCTAGCCATACTAACACACTTAGTCGTACTAACACTCCCAGCTGTACTAACACACTTAGTCGTACTAACACTCCCAGCTGTACTAACACACTTAGTCGTACTAATACTCCCAGCTGTACTAACACACTTAGTCGTACTAACACTCCCAGCTGTACTAACACACTTAGTCGTACTAACACTCCCAGCTGTACTAACACACTTAGTCGTACTAACACTCCCAGCTGTACTAACACACTTAGTCGTACTAACACTCCCAGCTGTACTAACACACTTAGTCGTACTAACACTCCCAGCTGTACTAACACACTTAGTCGTACTAACACTCCCAGCTGTACTAACACACTTAGTCGTACTAACACTCCCAGCTGTACTAACACACTTAGTCGTACTAACACTCCCAGCTGTACTAACACACTTAGTCGTACTAACACTCCCAGCTGTACTAACACACTTAGTCGTACTAATACTCCCAGCTGTACTAACACACTTAGTCGTACTAATACTCCCAGCTGTACTAACACACTTAGTCGTACTAATACTCCCAGCTGTACTAACACACTTAGTCGTACTAACACTCCCAGCTGTGCTAACACTCCCAGCTGTACTAACACTCCCAGCTGTACTAACACACTTAGTCGTACTAACACTCCCAGCTGTACTAACACTCCCAGCTGTACTAACACACTTAGTCGTACTAACACTCCCAGCTGTACTAACACTCCCAGCTGTACTAACACTCCCAGCTGTACTAATACTCCCAGCTGTACTAACACTCCCAGCTGTACTAATACTCCCAGCTGTACTAACACTCCCAGCTGTACTAACACACTTAGTCGTACTAACACTCCCAGCTGTACTAACACTCCCAGCTGTACTAACACTCCCAGCTGTACTAACACACTTAGTCGTACTAACACTCCCAGCTGTACTAACACTCCCAGCTGTACTAACACTCCCAGCTGTACTAACACTCCCAGCTGTACTAACACTCCCAGCTGTACTAACACTCCCAGCTGTACTAACACTCCCAGCTGTACTAACACTCCCAGCTGTACTAACACTCCCAGCTGTACTAACACTCCCAGCTGTACTAACACTCCCAGCTGTACTAACACTCCCAGCTGTACTAACACTCCCAGCTGTACTAACACTCCCAGCTGTACTAACACTCCCAGCTGTACTAACACTCCCAGCTGTACTAACACTCCCAGCTGTACTAACACTCCCAGCTGTACTAACGCTCCCAGCTGTACTAACACTCCCAGCTGTACTAACACACACAGCCATGCTAATACTCCTAGTTGTTCTAACACTCATAGTTATACTAATACAATGGACACGGCAACAGTCCACCTTCCTCGCCACTTCTGCACAAGTCTTATATTACAGCCTCATAATACAAACCTGCAAATTTTTTTTTGAATGAAAATCAAGTGCACTCAGTGCACTTGATTTTGCAAATCAAGTCAAGTGCAAACCCCAGTGCACTCAACCTCTGAGGAGACATGGCTGTCCTCAGGGAAATGTAATCAATGCTTACCGGACGACTAATGATGCCTCAGTCTCTCGTCTACACTCTTCCAGGCTTCGTAACCTTATATTAGGAATCCGATCACCATATTTGTGCTGTACAGTTTACAACATGAGCCAAAAGCTGCATCAACCTTCTTGAAACGAGTCAACACCTCTTGTGTAGTTTCATGTCTAGAAATTCTCACTCAAATTCCAACAAAATAAAAATGGGTATTTTCAAAAATTTATAAAACAATTGAGAATATATAAAGAAGACCATTAATACCATTACTACCATTAATTTAGTAATGGTTTCAGTGTTCAGTAGTATTGGCAGTTAGCTGAATCTCAGAGTATCGTCAAAATGGGCAGTGACATACGTAGAATTATCTATTTAATATTTTGTTCTTTGTAGTTTTAATTTTAACTTTTTACTATTTTTATTTTTTTTCAAAACTATCATTTTACTAAACATGAACACGACTAATACTATCACAGACATGGAACTACTTTATGCATTAGTTTGGTGAAATTTTGCAAACATTTTCCCCTAGAGAAATTTCCATTAACATTTTGATTTCTTCTATCTTCATTTTCTCTGCACCAGAGATGTATTTTCTGCATTTCTATCACTGCTGGACATGGTACAATAAAAACCTAGGGCTGTTTACAATAGAAAACTAATGTATATCCAGGAACGCACTAAAAACAATTCATGGAGATACTATAGATTCAGAATTTCAGCGACATTGACAGGCAACAGCTGTCAATGTCATCACTCCTCTTTGACAGTGTGTAGTAAACAATTATCACTACTCCAGCAGGGAGCATCCTGAATCTGCGTGTTAAGGGACCAGGAGCAGTGGCACCTGTTGGTATACCCGAGAAATGTTTGTCACACAACATCAACCCAGGGAGAGTAAGTGTCGGTGATGAAAAGCACAGCTTTTGATCTTCACATTTATGCTTACTATATTTAACTTGTCTAATAACCATAAAATATTTATCCAAAGGCATAGTAGTGTGTGTGTGTGTGTGTGTGTGTTTCACAACGGTAAACCAATATTTTAGATTAGGTGGTACAAGTTAGTGCAGATATGGTCACTATCAAAGATTCAGAGAATTTACAAGAGTGAACCCATTAGGGAACACCAATCCCAAGAACCAAAATTATTATAAATCGAAAATTAACAAAAGCTATCAAATTTATATAGCTTTGTTATAGCAATAAAATAACAATAATGTGAAATATCTTGAGAAAAATTTTGGACCAGTGAATTTGATTCCACACACTACTCCATAGATTTACTTGTAAAAATTTGTTCCACAGCAAAAATTTGTCATGTGTAAATCCACTGATTGCATTTTCACAAGATTTTATTTTCCACCAGAGTAGTTCCACACATCACCTGGGTCATCATATCTCATAGAGGCAACAGATGTCAGTGCCAATGGTCTTCCCCCTCGGACAAGTCACTTAGTGTATACCTAATCAAATGCCCAAAATTCCAGAGCAGCACCAATGACCTCCATGAGATACACATGGGATACCAAGCATGCAAGTGACCAATAACAACACAAAGACTAAATACACATTATTTTGGATAAGCCAAGTGATAAACTGGAATATTTATCAGTATTCACGTAGTGAAGTAAAAGATAACATATCATTATGAAACATGCGAGGTCAAAATTGAAGTCGGGTATTTTGTCTTGGTGCTTATGGGTACTTTAGCTATTACCCTCACAGCTTGGAGCAAGCACATCATAGCCAGGAAGAAGTCTTGAGGGTCTCCTCTAACATTTGCATAAAAGTACACCTTCAATGGATTTGTCTATATTTTCCCCTTTAGAGTGCAAGGCTTTACAAATACAGCGACAGTGAGAGGGGTTTTAAACACAATATTATTTGTGCCATTACATAAAAACTAAAATCAATTACCTAAGTTTCTCGATTTTCTAAATAAAGCCACATACCACACAAAATACAAAGGCACTTATGAACTACTTCTAAACGCACATTCATACCTTAATTAGTAATTGGAGATGCTAAAAGCAACAATAATAATACAAGTCTCACTTTTAATTGTTACAATTACCTATAGCATCATACTCATGGATAACCATTTTCCAGTGGCTGGTGTAGGGCAAAACATTATGTAAATATATTATATTATATATATATATATATATATATATAAAGACAATTTAGAAAATAAATACTGGCAGTCATAAAAATTCTTATAACCACATCTGCACACAACAATTACAAAACAATAATGATTACAAATCAGTAATAATTATAAAACAATCAATAATAAGACAAAAAATAAACTCACCTCATATATAGAAGACAATTCCTTGAAGAAGGTGCGCACATGATTAAGAATAAACTCGTTGTCTGGGGCAACCACAACATACGCAACGTTTCGCTGTTGTGAGTACGGCTCCAGAAGTAACTTTTCCCAGTGTCTGAGTGACTGTGGTGCTATAGATAACCAGTCTCTATCATGACCAGTCAATAGCATGGGAATAGGTAATGGTTCTGCCATATCCTCCGTGCCTCTCACAGCCATACGATGGAACTGTCGCCAGGTGAGAGGTCCGTCAACACTGAACACTGGTTCCCAATTGACTCTTCGCCCTTTCTTTTGTATAGCTTCTTGTAAGTGAGGCTGAAGGGCCTTCATACACCGTATAATATCTTTCGAACATCTGGGACCATCAAACTGGTAATAGCACCATTTGTGCATGCACTGTAGTCTGATTGCTGGGGAGCCACTTTCACTATCACTAAGGTTTGCACCCCGAGACTGTTCAACCGCCATACATGCTATCTCGTTTCCATCCTTATAATCCACTAAATTTAATAAAATATCTCGTCTAGTATTTTGGTACACAGTTGTTGATCTATATATAACACTAGATGGAGTACTTAACGTTACTAAGCACTGGCTTTGCAAGAGACGAAACATAGACTGAGGTATCTGATCTAGAATACTGGTTTCACGGTCGGGATTATCTGCACCTTTATTATCCATTAACAATAGTAATGACTGTTTCTTGCGTTCAGTTGCTAAAGCCTCATGGAGGCCAGTAAGGTCCACTTCGTCCTCATAAAACAACCCAGCCTGAAAGGCTAACCTTCTATTCACTACGGCAGAGAAACCACAAGTACATATAATACTTTCTTCTTCCACACTTAAATGTGTAGGCGGCAAATAAAGTGTCCCATCATTGCCACGGATATTACCTACATTTTTGGGGCTATTGTTACACACACACATCGTGCACGAGTCAAAATTGTGATCTCTAAACAGGTTGACACTAGAGTCTTGTAGTGCAATATTAACAATGAGGGAATTTGCTTCAGGTACTTGGTTAAGCCCCATTGTAGGAGGCTCTACCGACGGCAGTGTCTTGTTGAGGTATGATGACTGATTGGATGCTGGCGATGGTAGTTCATAGTTGATAGGTGGACCTGCCGATGCAGGACCACCAACACTACCAGGACCACGTTGAGACCCAGGACCACCGTCTGATACAGGGCCTCCAATACTGGAGGGCATGGGTGATATGGGAGATATTCCCACCTTCTGACCATGACCACCAGCAGGTGGGCCCCCATGATGGGGCCCCATATGGACCATTGGAGGAGCTGATCCGTGAGACTTGTCGGAGACTGAAAATTGCCAAGAAGGCTTGTACACCCATTCTTCTGGAATAGTGATAATTGTTTTATGCTCCTGACTGGGAAGGTTTGTGAGTGGAGCATACTTTGTTGATCCAACGAACATGGCCACAGACGGCGGCCGGAAAACGGCAAGAATCTGTGCCGGTTCTTCTTTAATGGGAATACCAGAGGGTTCGAGCGTATTTATGATCCTAGGTTCTTCTATACGCTCCTGCTTAATACTGATGACCTGAGATGCTGCATCATCTAAAGCAGTGTCGTGGTCGGGATTGTGTTCGTGGGATGGGGGTGTCGGAAACATCTTGGTCAACTCCACAAGACTCGTATTCACACTGGATTTGTTATTTCCACCTCCACTGCTTTTATTATTAATGACTGCAGCAGTGTCCTCGGGTCCTCCAGAAGGTTTGTTAGATCCAGGCGGCGTGTGGTCTGGGAATGTCACCTGAAAAAGTTGCTCAATTAAAATTGCAATACAAATATTTGCCATCAAATAAATATATCTTGCAATACTTTAAACAATTTATATTGCAAACTTGGTATAAAGTTGTAGTGCAAAGCTACGTAAGGCAAGTACACAATAGGCATACAAACAGTAGGGTGCTGTAAGACGACCGTGACAAATTTCTAGGAGCAGGCAGATAAATGGCTGCTGGAATTCAATCCAAATAAATGTAATCATAATGATTAAGAGAAACAGGATACCTATATTTAACTACCCCATAAAGAAAAAGACACATGTAACAATAAGAGAAAAAGACCTGTGAGTAGACCTGATCCCACCACTAACACCAGAAGTGCAGGTGAACAGGATAATATCAGCAGCATATGAGAAGCTAGCAAACATAAAAACATCATTAAAGATACTAAACAAAGAGTCGTAAGTCCATACATTTTGCCTATGCGAGACCATTACTTGCATATGCAGCACCAGCTTGGAAGCCACACTTTGTGTAGTATAAGAAGAAACTTGAGAAAGTTGAGAGGATTGCAACTAGACTAGTACCAGAACTGAGACACCTCAGCTATGAGGACAGGCCGAGAGAAGCATCACAACCTTAGAGGAGAGAAGAAACAAAGGGGCACATGATACCTATGTACAAGATCTTCAGGGAAATAGACAGTGGACAAAGAGGTAGGACAATGGACAAGCATCAATGGAAGCTGGACATGTAATTGAATTAAGAGAGAGATGTAAGGGAGTTTTCATTCCCTGTACAGGTGGTAGGCAATGGAATGAATTGAAGGAAGAGGTTGTTGAAGCCAATTCCATCTATAACTATAAACAAAAAAATATAAAAACATTAATATTGAGAAAGGTTAAGTTAAGCTAGCACACCAGATATATATGGCTATGTGGCGGGCCAGAAAGTGCTAGATCTTACTCCCTGTAGTCACTGATAAGTAAGCACTCCGACTGGCAGTATTTCATGACTAACGAGTCTAACTAGTACAGGGTGTTGTAATTAGTACAAAAAGGGTGTAATGATTCAGCCCATCTTCCTGTTTATGTAGTGCTTATAGTAACAATGAGCCCCATCGTACATAAATTGACATAAAAGACTACTGGAAAGTAAAAATCGGTACTATTAAATTTGGACAAACCAGGAAAGGCTTTGTTTTGTTGTTGCAAAGAAAACTTAAACCTGATCCTAGCCTTCATAAGGCTAATACATGCTATGAGGCCTAAAATAGTACATATATATATGCTATACTAGGCATAGGAATATTTAACTTTGGCGTTTAGCTTCATTTTTTTGGACAGTAAAGTGAATAGTACAAAAAGTATTATCTAAACTGGAGGATGGGTGTAATGATTTCAAGGTGGTGTAATGAATACAGGGTGGTATAATTAGTAGAGGGTTCAGTGAGTACTGGGTCATTTAGTGGGAGGTGTGCGATGATTACTAACTGGTGTAATTAGAATACGGAGGACAGTTATCACAGGCAGGGGTGGTATTATGTGGTGGTTGTGGTGGTGGTGGTGGGTGGTAGTATCACAGGCAGGGGTGGTATTATGTGGTGGTTGTGGTTGTGGTGGTGGTGGTGGGTGGTAGTATCACAGGCAGGGGTGGTATTATGTGGTGGTTGTGGTTGTGGTGGTGGTGGTGGGTGGTAGTATCACAGGCAGGGGTGGTATTATGTGGTGGTTGTGGTTGTGGTGGTGGTGGTGGGTGGTAGTATCACAGGCAGGGGTGGTATTATGTGGTGGTCGTAACATTATAAACAATCTTTAGTGTAAAGATGTGGTCTTCCAAATGGTGATCAATTCCTGTGTATCTGCAAGGAATCCTCCTTAAATATTATGATGTACAAAATATTAACACTTTCGCGCTCTCGGCGCTCAAAAAAAAAAATACCCCAGATGCTTTCGGCACTTCGCGCGCCTACGCGGTAAGACCGAAAAAGTGTACACTCTTTTGACTGTCCTGACAATAATTGAAGGCGCACGTATTTAAATTTGGTATCACTGTGTTCGCAATGAAATTGTCTATAAGAGCATACCTATAAAATGCCGCCCAAGCATAAGGAGTATCAACACCAAATAAAAAACTATGCAGATCACTCGCCGAGAGCGCCAAACAGCAACAAAATGTTTCCACTTTCTTAATGGTTGCGAAGCCTACAGTTGTCCTACATCGCTAATTTTGGTATCATTGGAATCGCAATAAAATTCTCTACACGGACATATGCATATGAATGTTTAATATAGGTAATTGCCCACCCGCAAGAGTGTGTGAAGTGGAGAGTAGTTAGCCGCGAGCGCACTGGCGAAAGCACAGAGGGGAAATCATGCTTGGAAATTTTATACGTTTCCTGACCCTACTTTTCTATGTACGTATTTCTTTTTTATACCAATGTGTTCGCAATAAAATTTTCTATAAGATGAACTGTATAACATTGGTACAAAGCATGTGTAAGAGAAGCGCCAAATATAGAACCACGTCGCTCAGTATGCGTTCGCGGCAGAAACGAACGCATTGTTTTCGTTCGTTTGATGTTTGTCATGTTTATACATGTTGAAACATTTTATAATTTGTATGACAGTGATCGCAGTAAAATTCCCTACACAGACATATACATAACACATACAAATATTTCCCACGTGTTGGATATATCAACGGCTAAAGGGAACCCACTGCCACACGCTCGCCACACCCCCAAACATACTTTGTGTATTTTTTTTTTTACTCATAGAAGTTTATGTGATATAATATTCATTCTGGTACCAAAAAATTTGCAAATAAATTCTCTACAAAACAAAAGTATCCCCATCCATTTCGGTTAAAAAATGGAATTTATAGAAATATTTTTTCGATTGACGAGAAAAGTAGGCAGTTATGCGGAATCGTAAGAAAAACCAGTGACGAGTTATCTCTAATATAAAGCGCGAAAGTGTTAAAATCATCAATTTATAAAAAATGACTGTACTTCTTCTTACTTATAAATAATCAGCATTTGAAAACTTTCAAAAGTGATTATTGCTTTAAGTAAATGCATAAGTTGTGTTTAAGGTACGAGAGTGCGAGTGAGGAGGGAAAGGAAGCACCGTGTGGGAGGAAACAGTCACATATGTTCAAGATATACTTGCAGCTGCTACATAAATAAGTATTCTATCAGTGCAAAACAAAACAATTTGAATATACCATATTTGCCACCACAGAGAATGCACGTTTTTGATCCAAAACGAACCAAATATGTATTGTAATTACATGCACAAAATCACCTATTTTCCACCCTACAAAATTGCTTGAAGATCACTTTCAATAACTGTATGATGACAAACAATCCAAAAGACATTACTTTAAAAGAGGCAAGTTATATGTCAGCAAATCCAGTACATTGTAGCAAGGCAAAATACTGATGTAACCAGATAGTGTGTTGTTGCCTTTCTAGGTTATCTTGGACATAATCACCACAAACTGTCATGAAAGTTTTAAGGTTTCCAATTATTTTCTATATTAGGGGGAAGGGGGGGGGGGAAGGAAGGAATTATCAAGGGAAAGTGCCAAGCCATTACGACTATATAGCCCTGGGATGGGGTCAGGATAAGGATTTGGGATGGGACGGGGCAAAGGAATGGTGCCCAACCACTTGGACGGTCGTGGGATTGAACGCCGATCTGCATGAAGCGAGACCGTCGTCTACCGTCTAGCCCACATGGTTGGGGGGGGGGAGTTGAGAAAGAAATGAAGCTTATGGAAATGGTTGCCACATTTAAATATTAGGTCCTTGTTGAATATGGGCCTTCAGCATAACTCCCTTTTTTGTAGTTTCTGTTCTCATGCTTCCATTTTCTTTCCTCCTCCAATGCAGAATTCCGTCCAGGCATTACCTCCAAAATTACATGATCTTTTATACATGTGGGCAATTGAGTATTTTACTGAGAATGACAACTTATTTTTTCGTAAATATTAAAAGTATTACATCAACCAGATTTTCCAAGATATTTTGAATGCTAAAAGAATTCTAAAAACCTCTTTACACAATTACCAAACAACTTTACAAGTTATCTTGACCACTACACACTTACCCTAGTAAGAAAATTATGGAGATACTGATACCAAAAAAAAAAAAAAAAAAAAAATACTTTCAACATGGATTTTATGACTTATAATAGACGATGCCTTATAATTTTGAAATGTTTGTGACTATGAATCTGCTTTCAACATACAATAGTGTACTAAAGTATCAGGAAGAAACTTACTTCATCCACAGGAGAATCTGAATCAAAGATTTCATCTAAATCTGATAAAGAAGGCTGAAGACCTTCTATTGTATACAAATTTCCAGTTTTCTTTGTTTGAGAGGGAGAATGTGGATCGTGAGATGATCGAACACTGCCCGGGGTTTTGACATCCTCTTTATCAAGCCCATCTTTACGTTTATATCCCTCCTGCGTGGTGCCGGAGCCAAGATCGTCATCAAAGTCATATGGGTCAGCTTCTCTCTTGATACAACATGAATGTTTGATGGGTAACCCATTCATTTCTGGAATCTGATGACAAAAATGATTAATAAACCGAATGAATGCATTCAGTGATGGAAATGGGTTATGGGAACTACAGTATATACTGGTTTTGGAAATTAGGTATATGTTAGTTCAGGAAATGGGTGCACACTAATTTTAAGAACTAGGTATACGCTGGCTTTGGAACTAGGTGTATGCTGGCTTTGGAACTAGGTAAATACTGGCTTTAGGAACAAAGTATATGCTAGCTTATCAGGCTGTTACCTGATCAACCAGGCTGTGACTCATACGTCAGGCTGCAAGCAGCAGCGTCCAACAGCCTGGTTGATCAGTCCGGCAACCAGGAGGCCTGGTCGACGACCGGGCCGCGGGGACGCTAAGCCCTGGAAGCACCTCAAGGTAACCTCAAGGTAGCTTTAGGAACTACGTATATGCTAGCTTTAGGAACTAGGCATATGCTGGCTTTAGGAACTAGGTGTACGCTAGCTTTAGGAACTAGGTGTATGCTAACTTTAGGAACTAGGCATATGCTGGCTTTACGAACTAGGCATATGCTAGCTTTAGGAACTAGGTAAATGCAGGCTTCAGGAATTAGGTAAACACTAAGGCTATATCCAGGATTATTGCTCAGGAATCACAAAAGGGAGGGGTCCATTCATAATTTATAAAATAAACAAGTAATTCTAGGTACAGGTAGTAGAACCGTGACAATGAGGTGATGAATATCTCCATTAGTACAGAAATTAAAAAAAAGAAAAAACTATATACCTGCATATCCACCCACATTTCCATCACTGAATATGTGGCTACGGTATATTACATATCCTTTCCTATTCTACTGTGCAAGTATTTGATAAGCTGTGGCCCAATATGTTGTATCTGGAAATGATATAATGAATGGATGCCTCCTTATTTCATGAGTAGGAAATAAGGAAATAACATTTACAAATGATCAAAAGACTTTTCAATACTTTATGAAAACTGTATTAATAACTGAAGTCAATTAAAAATTATATAATTGGCCAATTAGTTATTCATTTCCACACCGATTTAGTTTACACTGACTCGCTTGAACTCTCTACACTATGTAGAAGGCATGTCAACCTGATTGAGACTATAACCTTTAGGGTTTAGCTAGATGTTAATGTACATGAAAGGTATAAGAAAATATTGAAGCCATACAATGAGATGAAACTCTCACATTTGAACTCCTCATAGTTGGTACTGCGTGTGTACGAGGAGTTCGGGGATGAAGGTTCATTTCCATTGAACGGCTCAAATATTTTTTCAGACTCATCACGTTATTGTGATTTCATTAAGAATACAAAAAGGTATATTTAGTGGAGGCACTTAAAAACTGTACAAGCATTTATTTTCCTCCCTCAAAAAGCAAGACATATTTAGCATATGACTTACCTCCTGGCCCATCTCTGCTCTATATGGCTCCATGTGTTCTTGTATGTGAGCCGGTCTATACGGAGGCCAAAGAGGTTCTTCAATTTTAACTTCTGTTGGTTTAAACTTCTTTACAGGATGATGAAGCCTGATGAAAAAGTAGGAACGTAGGTTACCATACATTTATCTAAATTTCGCTCTCAAAATGATCCAGCAGGCACACTTATTACACAAAATTGTACTAAAGAGCATATCAGCAAGAAAGGTGAACCATGAGTGATGTCTGCCAACACATCATGGGAGAACAAGCACGAACAGCCCAAGCAACACAACAGTAGCTCCTCGAGATACCTGGAGCATACCTGGAGGGGGTTCTGGGAGTTCTCCTACTTCCCGAGCCTGGCCTCAGATAACTTGGTCCAACAGGCTGTTGCTTGAAGCGGCCCGCTCCACAGAATTCAAACCCAACAAAGAAGCAACTCAAGAAACAGAAAAGCAGTACACCAATTGAAAAATTGGTGTACTGCTTTTGTATTGTGAACACCCCCAAAAGATCCAAAATTCCAAACCAGTTTGGGTCAGTGACAGTGAGCCATGAGGACCAACACCACTGTAGGTCAAATATCAATACAAGTACAATGACTGTTTGAATATAAGCATATGTGAGCAGGCAGCGAGTGTGATTGATTCATCAGATGGACCAGTTGGGTATATATTACCAAACATAGCTAAATGTTTGGTAGCATTTACCAAACTGTTAAAAGCTTTAAAGTTTACTGGACTCTGAGGCTCTGAACAGTTTCTTAAAAGGGTTGCAGAGAACAAGACAATAAACGGTCAGTAGACAAAATTAATCTTCAGTATTATGGAATACCCAAAGAAATGAAGAACAAGCCATATTCTCAGCAGACATTACTCTCAAAATGATTTTAAAGTTTTGCATGATGGATAATATAGGCAGGTTTTTTTCACCCTGATGCTCCTGTTCATCTAGCAGTAAATAGGTACCTGGGAGTTAGACAGCTGCTACGGGCTGCTTCCTGGAGGTGTAATTACCTAAGTGTAGTTACAGGATGAGAGCTACGCTCGTGATGTCCCGTCTTCCCAGCACTCTTTTATAATGCTTTGAAATTATTGATGGTTTTGGCCTCCACCACCTTCTCATCTAACTTGTTCCAACCGTCTACCATTCTGTTTACAAAAGTAAATTTTCTTATATTTCTCCGGAAGCTTTGTTTCGTTAGTTTAAATCTATGACCTCTTGTTCTTGAAGTTCTGGGCCTCAGGAATTCTTCCCTATCAATTTTATCGATTCCTGTTACTATTTTGTACGTAGTGATCATATCACCTCTTTTTCTTGTCTTCTAGTTTTTGCATATTTAATGCCTCTAACCTCTCCTTGCAGCTCTTGTCCTTCAGTTCTGGGAGTCACTTAGTAGCATGTCTTTGCACCTTTTCCAGTTTGCTGATGTACTTCTTAAGATATGGGCACCACACAACCGCTCCATATTCTAGCTTTGGTCTTACAAAAGTTGTGAATATTTTATTTAGTATTTCTCCATCCATGTATTTAAAAGCAATTCTGAAGTTCGAAAGTGTAGCATAGGCTCCTCGCACAATGTTCTTAATGTGGTCCTCAGGTGATAGTTTTCTATCTAGAACCACCCCTAGATCTCTTTCTTTGTCAGAATTCTTTAAAGATTTCTCACATAATTTATAGGTTGTGTGGGGTCTATGTTCTCAAATTCCACATTCCATAACATGGCATTTATTCACATTAAATACCATTTGCCAAGTGCTGCTCCATATACTTATTTTGTACAGGTCTTCTTGAAGGGCATGACAGTCATCTAGGTTTCTTATCTTCCCTATTATCTTAGCATCATCAGCAAACATGTTCATATAATTCTGTATTCCATCTGGTAGATCATTTATGTAGACAATGAACATTAACTGAGTGTTAATGTTCATCTGAGTGAACAAAACGAGTGTGTAACAAAAAGGAGGCCTGGTCGAGGACCGGGCCGCGGGGACGCTAAGCCCCGAAATTATCTCAAGATAACCATTAATGTTGTAATGTGTGAATTACCAATGCAGTATGCTAGCCAGTATCAACTGTGCTATTAACAATGAACAGTGAATGCTATTAACAATGAACAGTGAATGCTATGCTATTATCAATGAACAGTGTATGCTATGCTATTAACAATAAACAGTGAATGCTATGCTATTATCAATGAACAGTGAATGCTATGCTATTAACAATAAACAGTGAATGCTATGCTATTAACACTTTGTGCGGATCAGGACATCACCTGGAGTCCTGTTTTGTCTACCCGCTTCCGCGATGTGGACATAAAATGATGTCCTGAAAAAAATATTTGTATAAAATTCAATTTTAATCCGATTTACTTTGGGTTTGTTTCAAACTGCGCGCCATGAGGCTCTCTTTCTCACCACTAGGCTGCATGGTACAATAAGTTCATGAAAGGTGTGGACCACTTCGATCAAATGGTATTACCATTTTACCAGGAAAACTCACAAGTGGACCTAAAAGATAATGTTTTATTTCCTGCAAATGGCTTTGCATAATGCCTTTGTTTTGTACAAATACAACACAACTGATCAAAAAAAGCTAACATTGCTACAGTTCCACGAGGTGGCAAATTGGGCCCTATTGTGCTGGGACCCGGAAGATTGGCCTCAAACAGCAACAGTATCTCAACACTTGCGGCACGCTCCAGACATAAATGATGACACAGGTCCTGCCTATGCTGACGCCATGCAAACTCCTGGACCATCTGGTGTGAGGCGGCCCTTGTTCACTTCAACACCTCAAGCTGAACCAGCAACCGAATCAGAACCCGAGATGTCTGGCACACTGCCATTTGACGAGACGGTTTTGTCAGATGACTCTGACTCAAATGTTGAACCTACAGCGATTCAGTTGATTCTGAAAATCGCACGAACTACAAACTGAAACGAGTATTTTGATACCAGAATGAACACTGTATCACATAAACTGCCATAAGTAGACTCGAACCTTCATAGATTTTTTTTTGGGTGTAGCATGTGTCTGAATGAGTGTCCCAAACGGGTTGCAGGTGGGTGACTTTAGCTGTTTATACTGGTAATGCTTCCCTCATATCATGTATTATATGCATATGTCTGTTTAGGGAATTTTATTCCGATCAATGTACAACCAAAAATAACTGTGTGCAACAAGTATAACCTTGGCAAACATAACAAAAGTAAAAACATTTCGTGTGTGTTTGACGCTCACTGATATGTTCCAGCGTTGTTTTATATTTGGCGCTATTCTATCTTATGCTTTGTTGATCTATTTTACCTACGGGCTCATAGAACATTCTATTGCGAACACATTGACACAAAAATGAATGACGTACATAGAATAATAATGTTAGGACAGTGAAATAAGTATAAACTTTCAAAGCACCGTATCGCACGTGTCGTCCTGTCACCGATACCGGGTAACAGTTTCATCATTTCCCACACTCTTGCGGGTGGGCCGCGACCACTATTCTACGTTTATATTCATATCACCGTGTTGGGAATTTCATTGCGAGTCCATTGATACCAGAATTAACGCTGTAGGACAAGTGTGGAGGTGATAACAATCCCAAGAGTAAAAATATTTTGTTGCTGTTGGGCGCTCACGGCGAGTCATCTTCATAGTTATTTATTTGGTGCTGGTATCCCTATACGTTTCGTGACTTATTTTACTGATGTTCTTCTAGAGAATTTTATTGCGAACACGTTGGTACCAAAATGAAATACATAGCTCGAGAACTAAGGTCAGGAGAGTAAAAAGAGTATACACATTTTTGTTTTTACGCTAGCTTAAGCGACAAAAACGCCGTGAGCACATACCGCTTTTTTTTTTTTTACCTTCGCCGGGCGCGCGAAAGTGTTAACAATGAACAGTGAATGCTATGCTATTAACAATGAACATCGAATGCCATCAACAATGAACAGCGAATGCTATCAACAATGAACAGCGAATGCTATCAACAATGAACAGCGAATGCTATCAACAATGAACAGCGAATGCTATCAACAATGAACAGCAAATGCTATTAACAATGAACAGTGAATGCTATCAACAATGAATTCACTCATATAAATAAATGAACTGTAAAACACTAACCACGCATTTAATTTGGTGTAGTCATACAGGACGGGGCTGGGTTTCTCCAATTCCAAAAGGGAATGGTAGTCTGTGCCGGGAAGAGAGGGTCGCTTCAGTCCTCTCACAGAACCGTTGCTGCTTCCAACACCTCCCAAACTACTGCTGGTATCGTTTGATTCAATGCCATTCCCTCTGTCACCTCCAGCATATGGAGACATACCCTGCAAAGTTTTAGCACAAGTTATATATAAAATTAAAAAAAACATTGAGAATATTACCCAAGTTGAAGAACGAGATGAAATCATCAATAACTTCAAAAACATTAGTATTAATCTGTTTTTACAAGAAGTATTCTATATAGTATAGAAGCGAAGCTGGTTATTAATCAACACAACTGTAGAATAGATGCATGTAAAGCTGTTTTAGCTATTTGGTAAATATTGTAATGTTGAATGTCAAAGTTGCTTGCTTGAAGACAATGCAGTACCTAATAATAATAATGATGCAAAGAATAAGTCACAAAAGCATGGCTAGTAACAAATAACTCAACTGACATGAATGTGAAGGCATTTTGGTTCATCGTGGACACTCAAGTCGTACCATGGCATGACCTGATAAGGGTCCAGGACAAACAGAAATGTAATCACTTTCATTTTATTGCACATGTATGGGTTAGGCTATAACAACGCCTCCATCCAAAAAAAAGTTTATTGTCTTGTTACCTAGAGCAAGCCCAAGTGAACTACTGTAAAAGCTTTAATTCATATTCCAGTAACCCGAACCCAAGTAATCTGAATAAACGTGTGAATTTTTGACCACTTAACCTTACTAGGAATTCGGGTTAAAAGATTACACTGAATGAGAAACCTGAATTAATTCAAGTTCGAGTACTACAATTCTTAATAGAAATTTGAGTTACTGCTACTTCTGCCACACACGAACTCTTGAATAAATTCTAATTTGTTCATTTTTGGACGTGCCTGCAAGTGGTTAAGTAGTGGTTACAATTTCAAGAAAACTTCAAGAAGAATTTTTCTCAGAAGGAACTGGGTTGCTGCCACACAGGCATCTAAGGAGTTCTTATTTATCATCTACACTCATTCACCTATAAAAAGTCTCGTCTATTCCCCCTTAGTTATGAGAAAGGAGCACTTGCATGACATAGAATACACTTGACAACAAAATGCACAAGACTCTCCTTAAATATCGATCACAATAACATTTCTGTTAAAGGGTTGATATATGATATATATATGAAATAAATAAAACAAAATATTAGAAAATGTGTAGATAAAATTGATAAGCTTTAAAGACATTTTACTAAATGCCATTCATAAAAGAGAAATGTACTTATTCAATATGTATTTAATCATATAATGATTCATACATATACAGTATAGTCTTTCTCTCCAATATTAAGAAATTTTTAAGTTAAGAATGACATTAATCATTCACTGAAAAACGAGACAACGGACAATGATGAGATTGGAAAAATGTTTCCAAATGATGTAATGTTCTAATTCTCTGACCTTCAAAATAAACACCTGGAGTCAACAAATGTTGCAAACTGTTAGGCAGCAGACTTAAACATCAACTAAAGCGGAAGTGTTTACCTATGAGCAACTACGGGGGAGCGAGATCGAGCTTTTCAAGCCCTGCCTCCTAGCCATTTATACCTGGCACACTAATAATCTCTCACAACATTAATGTTCCATCATATGTTTTCTTAAAGGTGTGGATGCCTCCTCCAAAACCTCAAAATCATACCTCACCAATTGTTTTGAAGACAAGCCATGTTATATTGTTTGGTACGTTTTTACTATACTGACAAAGAGATGTACTGTATATAAAATTATGCATAGTGAAGTCAAGTGCCTCAGTTGTCTTTAATACGGCATATACAAACACAGCAAATGTTAAAACGACGTGTTTCTAACAATTATACAGCAATCGTTTGCCTACTACAAGATTAAAAAGCTGCTCAATCATAAAAACAAACTTTTTAATATGCTTGTCTCCTTAAGACACAATGTGTATGTAGTAGCCCTTACTAAGAAACATGAGCAAGATGCTGACATGTACAGTAAATACAAGAGTATAACTTAAGACCAAACTTAACTCACCTGGTTGTTAGGCGATGATACAGACTTAGGACCCATGATGTCAGACATGTTGGGTTTTGCATCTAATAAATCGAGGGGTGCAGGGGTAGAAGGGTCACCAACTGACGTATTAGATGGAGGTGGATGAGGGCTTAATGTTGGCATGGAGGGGTCTGTGGAAAGGCAAACACTATTACTAATATGCACAGAATAACTCAATAATGTGGCTCAACATTAAACATCCAACCCAATTTATGAAAAAGAAAGGAAAACCACAATGTTTCAATCCATCATGGACCTTTATCGAGTCATCATAAGGGTTTGGATTGGATCGAAACGCTGTCGCTCTCCTTTCTTTTCATATGTACGAGTCGGCTATCTATTGCTAATAGCTTTAAGTACTCTACATAGAGAGAAAATATTGAAGCCATGTGATGGCATCAAACCTACATCCCAGGACCCAGATTCACGAAGCAGTTGCACAAGTACAGTACAGTACTTACGAACCAGTATGTCTTTTCTCAATCTTCGGCACCTTTGTTTACAATTATTAAACAGTATATGAGCTCCGAAGCACCAGGAGGCTGTTTATAACAATAGTTGATTGGCAAGATTTCATGTTTGTAAACGGTTTAATAAATGGAACCAAAGCCATCAAAGGTTGAGGAAAGATGTACACGTTCGTAAGTACTTGCGTAACTGCTCCGTGAATCTGGCCCCTGGACTCTCCAGGTACATGCAAGCTACATGCCACCATACACCCCAATATTTTCTCCTTATATCACTACCTCATGATTTCATTGTATTCTAAAAAAAAATTATTTTTCATTTTTAGTGAAAACTTTGATATAAAATAAATAACAGTTCTCTTACGCTTAAGCAGCAACAAAGGTATTTCCTTGATAATTGCAGCATCAATTCACTTTCCTAATATAGATGGTCATTTCTTTTCATGAAAAAAAAAAAGTATTAATGTGTAAATGCTTGTAACAATTAATTAAATTAATTGCCATTATCAGGAACAAGAAGCTTGTACTTCAGCTTCTCCCCTAAATCAAGTGACCTTCCCCAGGATGCAACCCACAATAGTTGCCTAACATGAGTACCGCATGGCATAATTGTACACACCGCGTCGCCGGGCATTGCCTGGTGTTGCTGAGGTGGCAGCGCCTACACTGTATGCAGGAGAGGGGGAAGGTTTTACCCTGGCCAAGCAGTAACCTGATTAACCCATGCACTATTTAGATGACCAGTGTTGTGTATTCCTTAAGTACTGAATCATCAGTAAACACAAGGGAAAGCACACACGTATAAATCAACACCTTACTGTTCAATGAAGTGTATTTACTATACAGTATTGAATAATTCCCTCTCAATGGTTATTACCGAGCCCGACCCAGACGTGTTAATACCTTTCATCCGTATGTTAACCCCTGCACTACTGAATACATAGACCTTAACATATACGTTGACTCCCTTCATTATTACACTGATAATATTACAGTACACATTAATACCTGCTTGATGGGGTTCTGGGAGTTCTTCTATTCCCCAAGCCTGGCCTGAGGCCCCCATCATTGTCATTACATTGCCCTGATTTCTACATTAACCACAGCAGTGCCGTCTTCTGGTACTGCAAGTCCACGAGCCACCGCCTCCTGGCACTGCAGATGCACAAGCCGCCACCACCTACTGGCACTGCAAGTCTGCGAGCCACCACCACCTGGCACTGCAAGTCCATGAGCCACCACCTGGCACTGCATGTCCACGAGTCTCCTCCTGGCACTGCAAGTCCACAAGTCTCCTCCTGGCACTGCAAGTCCACGAGTCTTCTTCCCAGTCTGTGACACTGCTCTTGCCATATCAAGCTTACATTTTGCATATACAATGTCTGCTTATGATTTTGGTAAAAATGCAACATTACCATTGCAACCAATACTAACGATCAATGAGACTCCGGTGGTCATTGACCTTCACTATGAAGGCAATCATTGAAGAGTGTTTAAGTACCAATCAGAAGTGTTTAGAGACAAGGAAACTGGCACCGCCACCATAGTGAAATGTTCCATGGAACTCCAATGAGGAGACAAAATTGTCCCAAACATGGCCGGGTTAATTTAAAGAAAGACTAATGGTTGCTGCCACGAGCTGGTGAAATGCCCACTATTTCCGACCTCTCAGAAGGAATCTCACTGTTATGCATTCCTGTGTGTCCTGGCATGTGTTTTTCTTGGTTCTGAGTTGATCTTCGATCCTCACGTGCTTCTCACCCATTTGCAGGGCCAACAAGATAAATTCTGAACACGATCCTGGTAACTTTTCCTTGTCCTGGCCATGTACTGGTGTTCAATCTTCCCTATAATCTTTGTCACGTAATGGCTTGAAGCTTCCAGTGTTGGTATATACAACCCTATTCAAAATTACTGTATTCCCTTTCTTCAACACTGTTTGCAGAAAGAGTATTTACATGGGGCGCTATCAATTGACTCCAGCCCAGAAAATATAGCTTTTGTAATATTTGTATTTTCCATAATATAGCTTTTGCTTACAAGCATTACTTTTAATTTAAATGTGTGCAAAGATGTGTTATATAATCGGCTACAAGAAAATTACAGCCTTGGATTATACCCAACACCCTTTCTCTGTATTATTCTTATTTTCTCCATTTCCCATAATATTACATTTATGTGGACTGAACTCTAGCAGTCCATTTTTCACATTGATTAGCTCCTCCTATACCACTCTGTAATTCTCACTTGTTGCGAGTCCCATCACCAGCTTACTACTGTCTGCAGTGACATGAAAGAATCCACTTTTCAGGTAGGTCATTACCAAGTGTGAAAAATATGCCAGAGTAACGTTAAATCAACATAGAACTAACGTTATTAACATTGATTCAATGTTACCTCAATGTTGTTTGCCCAAGTTTGCTTGGGGTGGATGGGAGGGGGGGGGATGGGAATTTAGCTCAGGAAGAGAAGGGACCCAAGTACTAATCCTTGAAGGACTCTTTACTTATATCTATCTAACTGAACCTTTCCCCCTCTCTCTCAAGTACTCTACTTTGTATCAGTCAGGCAATTTAATAACCATTCTAGTACCTTTCATGGTCTGCCAAATTTTCCTCCAGTGTATGCAAGAGCTCTTTGTGTTCGATGGTGTTGAAGTCTTTCCGACAGTCAAGCAAGATGTAGTCCACCCATCCCCCTCTCTGCAGTCTGATTCCAGTCACTTTGTCACAGAATGCAAGGCTGTTAGGTACAATGTTTAAATCACCGAGTTCATCATGTTTCTCAGTAACGAGATATGATTTCACCACATGTACCATTATTCCGAGTCATTATTTCCTCTCATACTCTGCAGGTTTTCGTGGTGGAAGACACACAGACAAGAAGAAAGTAGAGGGACGAGGGGATTGGTAGGGAGGGGTAGAGGGAGGGGTATGGAGGGGGAGAGGAAAGGCGGGGGAGAGGAAGAGAGGGGGAGAGGAAGGGAGGGGTAGGGAGGAGGGAGGGGGGTAGGGAGGAGGGAGGGAGAGAAGGGAAGAGGAAGGGGGGGTAGAGGGAAAGGAAGCGAGGGAGGGGGAGAGGGGTAGAGGGGGGGAGAGGTAGAGGGAGGTAGGAAGAGGCTAAGAACCATGTGTAATTAATTCCCAATCAAAGAATTCCATTTTAAGGGCAAAACAGAAACAAAGGCATCTTTATAATTTACCATGATGAGGTACAGATGAAGGTTGGGAATGAGGTGTAGGAAGGGGCGATGGTGTTATAGATGCGGGAGAATCTACCGAAGGTGGCGGTCCGTCTGCTATTCCCGTCAACCGTAAGCTAGGCACACTTCCGGGAGTGGTCACCCCGCCTCCTTTATAGCCTCCAAACCCCCCGCTTCCATTTCCACCACCAGGTGTCCCAGCCCCACTCAATCTGTCGAGCAACATCAAACAAATATGTTAACATTAAATCGCGTGCATATAATTTGTCATATTAAAAGCGCCTAACAAAGGAGTGAGTCAAATTTAATGTGAAGCTTTCAAGGTCTAAAACATTCAAAAATTATAATAGATTTATATATAATTACTTGAGTAAAACTACATTGACTAAAATATTTACTTTGAAGACATTATGAACCTCAAAAACTAAAAACTCATTTAATTGAGTTTCCTCATACTGATAAAAATACAGTATATTGTATAGCACAAAAGGACAACAAAAGACTACACTAATATATAACCACAACATTACATGTAACATGCAAGGCTACTATTATGTAATACAGTAGCTACTCTTAACTTACTAATGCAAAACAGAAATAAATAATATTTAAAGTGACAATGGTTGCCTTCTACTGGGCAATAACAAGCTTTGATTCTTTAATTCAAAGTTACTTGTGGAGTTCACATCAAAATATTTTCAGATATTAAGACAATTACTTGTATGAGAAATTATTTGACGAAGAAACACTAACATTTAATTTTAGACCAAAATTACACTCTTCAAAAGTAATAATTTGGCTAGACAGCATACAAGAGAAATTAAGAAATAATTGAGTATTCAAGCATAAAAAACACTGCCCTAACAATGCATGTGTATATATGTTTTGTCCAATACATGACCTGCTTTTATTCTATTAAAGCAAAATAAAATAAAAAGTTGATATACAGCAGTTCCAACAAATTATGCAGGTGAATGAACATAACAAAACAGCAGTGATGTATAGTTATCTTTTCTAAATAAAGTAATAAAACAGTGTAGCAACTTTATTTTTTTCCAGACATGTGAAAGCCTGACGTTCAAGGCCATGCAAGCAGCTGCATTCACCGATATTCAAAATAGAAGAAATAGAACAAATAAAGACTGCCCGAAAGATTTTCAACACTCACGCTGTGCAATCCAAAACAGTTGCGCTCCGGTGATGCAATACACATAACCTAAATTGTCAGTTCTCGTTAAAAATTAATCTCGAAAAATGATGCAGATTGTTCAAATAATCATGCATTTTGCACATGGGTTAAGTCATATATGTGGATGGTAAGCCACACATTAACAACTTTTTCTTTATATACTAGTTAATTGGCATTAAATTTTATTTATTCAAAATGGATACAAATAATAATTTCATGAAATAAGTGAGTTTCAGGTGCCAAGCTACAGATGAGCTGATGTATGATAACAGCTCTCAGCTTGCAGTTTCTAGTGCTGAGCTTCAGGTGAACTAATGTATAACAGCTCTCAGCTTTCAGTTTCTAGTGCTGAGCTTCAGGTGAACTAATGTATAACAGCTCTCAGCTTGCAGTTTCTAGTACTGAGCTTCAGGTGAACTAATGTATAACAGCTCTCAGCTTGCAGTTTCTAGTACTGAGCTTCAGGTGAACTAATGTATAACAGTTCTCAGCTTGCAGTTTCTAGTGCTGAGCTTCAGGTGAACTAATGTATAACAGTTCTCAGCTTGCAGTTTCTAGTGCTGAGCTTCAGGTGAACTAATGTATAACAGTTCTCAGCTTGCAGTTTCTAGTGCTGAGCTTCAGGTGAACTAATGTATAACAGTTCTCAGCTTGCAGTTTCTAGTGCTGAGCTTCAGGTGAACTAATGTATAACAGTTCTCAGCTTGCAGCTTTCCTGATCAAACCTTAGCATTAGATACAAAAATGAATTCACCTGCAAGACTCCACAAAAGCATGTTTCACCAAGTCAGCTGACACTGCACGAGACCATATCATGGAGTAGGATACGAAGATAACTGATATGCAAGTTATGTGTTTTAGAAATTCTCTACATAGTGGCATTATATAATTGCACCGTGTACCTATGAGTACTGCAATGTGTCATGTTTCAAATGTATTTTGATATGAACAAAATTATTATTATTAATTTATTAGTCTTATTATTGTAATTGTTGTATAAAGATTTAAATCCTATTACTGTGCTGTATCTGAGAAAATCATCAGATTTTCAGAGCATAGGTTCGAATCCTCCTCATGGCACTGACACATTTTCTCATTATTATTATTATTATTATTATTATTATTATTATTATTATTATTATTATTATTATTATTATTATATATTGTGGCACCATTGCAAAAATTCACAGAAAATATAGATTTCTTGTTGCAACAGATTTTGATGATACAATAGAGTTATCAACTGAGAGACTGACAGGCACAAATTTTGCCAAGACCAGTTGTAAACACTAAAGTTCACAAACACTGCAAGGTCACCTGGCTTCCTGTTATGAGGTGTAGCCGTTTCAATACCATTTTTGTAACATCTATTATGCAATCCTTTCGTAACATAAAAGATAGAAATATTATTTGCAAACCGTTTGCATGTTAGACAAATATACAGTACTGTGTATTCAAAGTTAACAGCTTGAATGAATGCAAATTGATTCTAGATATACATGCTCGGTGGTCCACCTACCCACTCGTGTTTAGTGCACCCCTGATGTGGAACACAGACTCGGATGGACGGACGGGGAGACAGACAGACAGACAGACAGACAGACAGACAGACAGACAGACAGACAGACAGACAGACAGACAGACAGACACAGACACACACACACAGACACACACAGACACACACAGACACAGACACACACAGACACACACACCTAAGTATTGTAGTACAGGTTGATGGTAGTGAGTGGTGTCCCAGAGAACATAAAGGTATAGTGCTCTTGAAAAATAGGTGAGATAACAGGAAAGTGCTAAGGGAAGTGAAAAATCGGATGAGAAAAAGTTGCCCTAGTGTTTACAGTGCAGAGAAGAACATTCAAGATGGCCACTGGCAAGGGGAAAAAACAAAACAGAGCTTGATTTTGAGGGATTCAATGAAGAAAGCATTGATATTAGTAGTCTACATAACAAGTTGGTAAATTTAGATACTATAGTGAACTCTCATGTAGAAATAATTAGTAAATTGAAAGAAAGTAATGACTATTTGAATAGCAAAGTTTTATGTCTTGAGGGTTTAGTGAAAGACTTGCGCAAGGATAAGAATCAATTGGAAACAAATTGCAAAGCCATGGAAGAAGAAAATAAACTCTTAAAAATAGCTTTGGAAGAAGTTAAAGTAAATTTAAACATAAATGACTACAATAGGTTAGGCAAGGAAATTCAACAGGAGAAACAGCTTTTGTCAGCACAGATGGAGGAAGTTACACAGGGAATAGAACAGTGCAAGAAAGATATGCAACTCACTTATGCACAAGTGGCCAAGGAGAAGGAAAAAATAGAAGCAGCAGTAAAGGAAGTCAAACACTGCAGCAACCAAGATAAAACAAACATTAGGCTAGAAGTGAGGAAAGAATTGGCATCTAACCCGAAGTTGGTGCAAAACACAGTTGATCGGAGTAAGTCCCTGATCATTTTTGGCTGCAAAGAAAAGGCGATAACATCTAGGTCAGAAAGAGCTGTAGAAGAAGCTAAAGTAGTAGATAAAATTGTTGGCCTCGTGGAAGGTCTTACAAACAGAGAGAATGTGTGCGACTACAGGAGAATAGGCAGGTACGTAAAAGGGAAAGATCGACCTTTGAGGATCACCCTAAACGGTGCCAAACAGATGGAAGAAGTACTAAGGAATGCTAGGAAATTGCAAAGGGATGAGGATGGGAAAGGGTGGTCGTTAAGACGAGATCTTTCAAAAGAAGATAGAGAGAAGCTGAAACTGAACCTCGCCGAGGCAAAACATTTAAATGAGAGCAGGAATGAAGAAGAAATAAATTCTTTTTTCTACAAAGTGATAGGGGTAGGCAAACCAGTAAAGTGGTACATAAAGGCAAACCAACAAAATCAATAGAGAGAGGGGGAGTGAAGAATAAGGAGAGGGGGAACAAGTTCCTGAAGATTGCATACACCAACATAGATGGAGTGAGATCGAAGATACTGGAGTTAAGTGATGTAATACAGCTGCAGACACCAGACATTGTTGCACTCACGGAGACAAAACTTGAAGATGTAATTTTAAACGAGGTCATATTCCCAAGGGGCTACTCAATATGGAGACGGGACAGAAAAATTAGGAAAGGCGGTGGCGTTGCTGTGCTGGTAAAAGAACACCTAAAGGTGAAGGAAATAATGACTGCCAATCCACAAGAAGTTGACATAATAGCACTAGAGATCTGCTATGAGGATGATAAACTAATGATGATAAATGCATATAGTCCACCGCCAAGCAGCACATGGTCAAAGGAGGAGCTAGATAGTAAACGTGAAGGTCTTATAACAATAATGAGAGAGATTATAGCGAGAGCGGATAACGATAGATCACGACTGTTGATAGTCGGTGACTTCAACTTGAAATCCATAGACTGGGAAGCATATGAAGCTAAAACAGAAGATTTTTGGACCTGTAAATTTGTAGACCTCATCCTGGAAACATTCTTGTATCAACATGTTAAACAAGCTACGAGGATGAGGGAAGGGGACGTTCCCTCCATGCTAGATTTGATATTTACCAGGAAGGAGGAAGAGATATTTGACATTCAGTACCTTCCTCCCTTGGGTAAAAGTGACCATGTCTTTTTGGGAATAAAGTATGCAATGCATTATAAGCTGGAAGAAAATAAGGAGGTTGAAGCAGTTGAAAAACCAGACTTCAGGAGAGGACATTATGGTGACCTTAGAAATTTTTTTAGTGAGTATAATTGGACAGACTTGATGCTAGGCAAGGAAGTGAATGAAATGTATGGCAAGTTTTGTGAAATATATGATAAAGGCACAAAAAAATTTATACCAAAACAGAGATGCAGAACTAGGAAACAGGATTGGTTCAATAGAAATTGCGAGAGGGCTAGAGACCGAAAGACACAAAAATGGAATCAATACAGGAAGAGGCCAAACCCCCAAACATACCAGCGATACAAAGATGCGAGAAACAACTACACGGCAGTGAGGAGAGAGGCAGAAAGAAATTTTGAAAAA